AACACTGGAAGTTTTTAAGAAGAGATTGGATATCCATTTGTCTGAAGTGTTGTAGGGTTTCCTCCCTAAGCAGGGGGTTGGACTCAAAGACCTCCAAGGTCCCTTCTAACTCTGTTATTTTATTCTATACTACGGTTCTATTGAAAAAACATAATCATATCTTCCCTTTTAAACACATGTACTGTTTTTCTTTTGATTGTATGGTTCAATGGCAGTATACTGTGCATATACAGTTGATCTAGTGGTTAAAGCAGAAGACTAGAAACCAAGAGTTTCCAGTTTTAGTTTTGCCTTAGGCATTAAAGCTGGCTGGGAGACTTTGTGCCAGTCACACTCTCTCAGCCCAACTCACCCATTAGGTTTCTTGTTGTAGGGAAAATAGGGGGAGGAAACAGTATCAGGTATGTTCACTACCTTAAATTATTTATAAAAAATAACATAATGGCTGGATAAAAAAAATATTTTTTAAAAAGTGCCCACATTTTGATCATGTGACTGCAGGAGTGCTATAATGACTGCAATTTTAAGGACCAGTTCTAACTACCCTGATTTCAGTGCTGTCATAACTTTCAGTGATTGTTGAATGAATGGTTATAAAGAAAGGACCATTTGTTTTGTATTGTATCATAAACTGCCCTGTCTTAAAGATACTGCTCTTCTCTCCTACTCTCCATGTCTCTTTCACAACATTGAGGCAGGTTACAACACTGTTAGCAAAGAATGCTGGGCAGGACACTTTACTACTAAATTAAAATGGAACACAGAATAAACATTAATATTTATTGCTTTGGGGAACTATAATTAAAGCTGCTGCTTTATATAGTCTGATAGACAATCTGTTAAACAAACATCTAGTGATAGTTACCCACTGAATATTAAATACTTCCTATAACAGGGCACGTGATAGGGAGCGATTGGTTACTGTAAATAAGCAATTTATGCAAAATCCCAGAAAAGAGAAAGAAATAATCAAAGATTTAAGGGGTATGGTAAGAAAAAAACAACAACCAAAATTTAGTTTACATCAATGCCATTTACTGTTTTACCACTTCATACTTTTTATCCTTGTAATTTTTTTTTTTGTTCATACTCCCTGTGTACTGTATTTTATTGTGTAATACAGTGTTTCTTAGAATTGTTGGTCTTCTGGCCTGTTCTCAAAATTATGGATGATCCCATGTTGGTGTGGGTTATATTTATCAATATTTACTTATTAAAAATTAAAGCTGATCCATTTATACAACAGCTGAGTATTGAATCATGTACAAATAAAAATATTAAACTCATTCATTTTTTTCATGAAAACTTTTTTTTTTAACAAACAAAAAAATTTAACAAACAAAAAACTAAAACAAGAGTGACCTTATTTTAATTAATTGCAAATATCTTCAAGATCTGGCAAATAATTTTGATTTTTGCAGAGCCCTCAGAGGATCCTGGAGTCACACTTTAAGAAACACTGCTCTAAGGCATTCAATATTATGGATACATTCTTGAATCCTGTGCAACTGTGTGTATAGCAAAGGCAACAGAAATGGACGACCGAACTGTTTCCAGAGCTTGGCTGGATTGGCAGAAAGGCTGATAACAAGCAGATTGGACTCTGCCAAATGTTCAGTAAGTTTGACAAACAAATGGCCTGCAAAGAACAAGGGAATGCCGATTGCTATCTTTTATTAGTCCAAAAACCAATCAAGCACAAGCTTAAACTTAATGTTGTGAATATCTTTTCAGCCGCATAGCTATCCAAGTCTGCCTGGAAACCAGGAACTAAGCTTACACAAGGTGCTTGCAAAAAAGAAAAGAAAAAAAGCTTAAACAGCAACTTGATGGATTGGATATTGGTGTCTGGAATCCACCTTCTTCCTCACACAATCTGGCTTTGCGACCTTTCCCTTGTATTTATTTTGCTGTGACACTATTCATGTTTGTTTGTTTGTTTGTTTGTTCGCACTACACACAAGGATTCTCTTTATGGACTGCCTGAGTTCCAAGGGACACGCCGGGAGGCTCAGCTGTTTCTCCTCCATCCCACAGAGAACACAGGCACATTTCCAGCCTTGTTGGGTGTTTTAAATTTATTTTTATTTTATATTTCTTCACCGCCCATCTCCCTCAGAGAATGGATGGTGTACTATATAATACAGGTAGTCCTCGACTTACAACAGTTCATTTAGCGACAGTTCAAAGTTATGACACTGAAAAAGCTAACTTACGACCAATTGTTCACAGTTTCGACCTTGACAGCATTTCAAAATTCGGACACCTGGCAACTGAATCGCATTTACGACGGTTGCAGGGTCAGGTGATCCTCTTTTGCGGACCGCCTGACAAACAAAATCAATGGGGAAGCCAGATTCACTTAACAATTGCGGTGACTCACTCAGCAACTGGGGCAATAAAGGTCATAAAACGGGGCAAAAGCCACCTTAGGAAATGTTTCACTTAGCATCATAAATTCTGGCCTCAACTGTGGTCGTACGGCGAGGACTGCCTGTGTAGGTGTTTCCCAAAGCAAAGCCCAGGAACGGGGCGGCAGAGGCTGCGGGGAAGGGAGCCCAATTCGAATTGGGGGGGATGGATCTCAAGAAACGGGAAAGCCCCTCCCCGACCCCCCTTCCCTTTACCTGCATGTTGTCCTCGAAGGCTCCCCACTCCGCAGTCGCCGTCGCAGCCCCGCTCCTCGCTACCCCGGCGACCGGGGCTGCCCCAGGGCCGGACATTTCCCCAGCAGCGGCTGCGGAGGCACCGACGCCCCCGGCCGCGCTCTCGCTAACGGAAGAGCCTGAGGGGGCGGGGGAGGGCGCGGAGATCCGACCGAAGCCAGGCAGAAAAACCCCGGATGGAGCAAAGCCAAAGCAATCCGCGCTCGGGGGGGTTAAGGAGCCGCACCGGGAGACGTGGAGACTCGGGAGTTCTCGCGAGATTTCCCAGGAGCCGGTCTGACTACGGTGCCATCTTGGTTGTTCCGGCTACGCCAGACGAAACAGGAGGGACGGATAACGACGGGACAAACAGAAAAGCGGAAAAAATCACCAAGACGTTTCCTACACATCCTCTTGACACGTGACTCTAAAACACGCCCACCCACCCACCCACCCAAAAATGTTCATTTTAGAAAGCGCCACACACAACATGGCAACACACCGCCACCCATTTCCGTTCTGTGGGAAGAGCCGCTCAACCGGAATTCGAATGTCACGTGAGAGGGGACGCTTTTCTGCTCGATGGTAAAACTTTGCGCTTGCGCACTGGGCTTGGCTGGACCCTATGTAACGCGTTTGCGTGAAGGATGGCAGCGCCCGGGAGCGTGGAAGAGATGCGGACCCGCGTGGTTCTGGGCGAATTCGGTGTTCGCAATGTAAGCGAAAGAAAGCAGCGGGATGGGTGGAGGGATAGTGTTGTCTGGCCACGAAACGGGGCTTGTAAATTATTTCAGTGGATGTTTCCTGGAGAGAAACCTGACATATACAACAATATAAATGTAATGCAGCCGAATGAATGAATGAAGCTCTGCTAACAACATTTCTGATGCAGAGGAAGGGATTTGCGAATTTTGTCTGGGATATTTGACAGTTTCTCTACATAAAAACAAGTTGCTGCTTGAAGATAAACAGATGCATGTATGCAAGATGGATTAACAGAGTTGGAAGGGACCTTATAGGTCATTTAGTCCAAACCCCCCCCCCAATCCCTGTTCAAACAGGGGACCCTACACCATTTCTGACAAATGGCAGTCCAATCCCTTCTTAAAAATCTCAAGTGATGCTGAACACCAGTTGTCCAGATAATTCTGTAAAGCGTTTTTTAGGAGTCATCTTGGGTTTGAATTTGGAAACTCCTGTATGTTGAATTAAGTCGTTGCAGCTAGTCCTTGAATTACAAGTTTGTTTAATGACCATTTGAAGTTACAAGAGCACTGCAAAAAGTAACCTGTGATTGTTTTTCACATTTACGACTGTTGCAGCATCCCCATGGTCACATGATCAAAATTTGGATGCTTGGCAACAGACTCACATGGATGACGGTTGCAGTGTCCCAGGTCAAATGATCACCTTTCGTGACCTTCTGACAAGCCAAGTCAATGGAGAAGAAAGGTTCACTTAACAACTGTGTTACTAACTTAATAACTGCGGCGATTACGCTTAACAACTGTGACAAGAAACGTCATAAAATAGAACAAAATTCACTTAACAACTTTTAACAAATTTTGAGCTCAAGGTGTGGTCATATGTCAAGGACTACCTGTAGTTTATTGAACACATACCCATATAGAGAACACAGGTTGGCAACTGTTCAGGATTTCAGTTCTATCCAGGGATTGAACCTGGCATAATCTGCATTTTCTATCAAAGAGTTACCAAGTGTTTCTTTCCTCTCCAGGTCCACACAACAGATTTTCCTGGGAATTATTCAGGATACGATGATGCTTGGGATAAGCAAAGATTTGAAAAGGTGAGAAGGAAGTGATTCTTTCTGTTAAGTAGTTTAAAGTCAAAAGTTGCCGATTTCCTTGGAACGGTGGTGTTTCTAACTGTACTTGATAGCAACAAATCAGTGCAAAACACTATTTCTGAATCTTATTAGCTTGTTTGTAGTCTGGTTCAAGCTGTAGTGTATTTTCAAATGTAGATATTGCTTGTATGGTGGAGAACCTAGTTCAATTTCTTGCTGTTTATGAAAGATTTGCACAAGCCATTTTCTATGCTCATCTGACTGGAAAAACTAGGGAGAATGTGAATTGAATAAATGAATATTTATAGAATATTGTAAAATACCAGAATTTTCAGCATTGATAATGACATACACATTTAATTACATGGTAAGACTTCTTCAACCAGGGTTCGATTTAAAGAGGCTACTGTTTGAATAGATTTGGTTATAAAGATAATTGTTGTTTTTACTATTTGTCAGCAAAATCTTTTTTTAACCAAAAGAGGATGCCTATAGATGCCTGTTTTCAAACTTTGTTTTCACAGAATTTCAGAGTAGATATGATCCATATGGATGAAAGTACTTTGGAATTTGACATGGTGGGGATTGATGCAGCCATTGCTAATGCTTTCCGAAGGATCTTGCTTGCTGAGGTATTGATTTCTTTTCCACAAAGTAATGCCAGCATAGTCATATTGCAGTGGTGGGATACGACTGGTACACCCCAGTATGGGCGTACCGGTGCCTGCTGGGAGCACCAGGTCCCATTCCAGTAGGGTGCTCCGGAGGGCCCACCTTCCCACCTGCCCTCCTTACCTGCATTTGAGCTGATTGGGGCGTATGCGCACGGAGCTTATGGTGCCTGCGCAATGCTCCTCCGAGCAGCTGGAGGGTCGTGGGCGGTAAGTACCACCACATGCTGTGCGCGTGCATGTAGTGGATGCCCAGCCCTGTTGCAATGTACCGGTTGCAACAGGATCTGGAACCCACCACTGTCATATTGGCATTTTAATGCTTAGGCATACTCTGAAAAATATCACAAGATTTGCATTGAGAATAGCAATAGCAATAGCAGTTAGATTTATATACCGCTTCATAGGGCTTTCAGCCCTCTCTAAGCGGTTTACAGAGTCAGCACATTGCCCCCACAGTCTGGTCCTCATTTCACCCACCTCAGAAGGATGGAAGGCTGAGTCAACCTTGAGCCGGTGAGATTAGAACCGCTGAACTGCAGATAACAGTCAGCTGAAGTGGCCTGCAGTACTGCACCCTAACCACTGCGCCACCTCGGCTCTGGATTGTCAAAGACACTGTTGTGAAAGACAAATTGTAATATGAAGTCTTCAGAACAGTTTTTTAAATGAGGTAGTTTATTAGAAAATAAGATTTGTAGAAGTTTAAACTACTTTTGTGTTGTAGGAAAAGAGCAAGTATTATTATAGATAAGGTCTTTGAAATTTAGAAAGCTGTTGTCCAAAAGGGCAAACCCATAGTTATCTCTCATCTCCATCTCTCTCCCTCTCTCACATCCCACCTTTATTATTTATTTAAATAATTCAAAGTGGCGAGCATTCTTAATACATCTCCCTCCTCCTATTTTCCACACAGTAACAACCATGTGAAGTGAGTTGGGCTGAGAGAGTGTGACTAGCCCAAAGTCACCCAGCTGGCTTTCATGCCTAAAGCAGGACTAGAACCCACAGTCTCCTGATTTCTAACCTGGTCCCTTAACCATTAGGCCAAACTGGCAGTATTGTTATATGTGCCTAGTAGGTATAAGCACATGAAGTGGGTACCTCTGGGATCTCATTTATTGTTAAAAATTGCTTTGTTCTTCTTCCAATTGGAGCTTGAAGAAACTTTTCAGAAATAAAGATCAGAGGGTAGTGAATAAATAATACAAGAACATTGGGGAGTCTACAAAACCTTTTTTTAAAAAAATCCAACTTAAGACTTGATGTTTAGATCAGTATGTTAGGCCACCAGAATCCAGAAATTCATAAGATACTGAGAACCAGTGCTTTGATTAATTGTTACCTAGGTGCCAACCATGGCTGTGGAGAAAGTCTTTATATACAACAACACCTCCATTGTACAGGATGAAATCCTGGCTCACCGTTTGGGACTGATTCCTATTTGTGCAGATCCTCGTCTCTTTGAGTACAAGAGTGAAGGTAAGATATTGTTGGAGGTGTTTGTCAGAAGCTGAAGCTGGCTACTACTAAGTAGAACTTAAAGCAATGTGTGTGCATCTTACTTTACTTTATTCTTCCTTGCTTTTTTCAGAAGATGAATGCGATGAAATTAACACACTACAGTTTCGATTGAAAATAAAATGCAGCAAGAATCTTCAGGCGGCTAGAGAATCATCTGATCCTAATGAGCTTTATATCAACCATAAAGGTAAAATTCTTGCTTTCAAGTCATCCGTGGCTGCTATTCTATGTTTCTAATACAAATATTCTTTTGATATAATCTCATATTCAAGGCTTCTCAGTCTACCAAATCTTTCTCCTTCTTTAAATTGAAATAAAGAACCCAGGGCTTCATTTTGTGTGTGTGTTTGTGTGTGTGTGTGTGTGTGTGTTTGCCTTCCCCTCTCTTCACTTTGAATGTAATTGTTAAGCTATTTCCTTCTGATTGAGAAGATGTCCTGCTGGATTGGAGCAGCACATAAGGCCCTACAAATAATTGAATCATGCCATAGTTTTGTCTGTGTAATTGTAAGCACAACTCTTTTTTAAAATAGTCTTCTTATAGTTTACAGCAAACACATGGAGTGGGTACCACTAGGATCTCAGGCTGACAACATGAATGCAAATTTCCGACCTGTCCACGATGATATCCTCATTGCTCAGTTGCGTCCCGGCCAAGAGATCGATGTACTTATGCACTGTGTAAAGGGCATTGGTGAGACAGCTAAAGTTCTGATATAAATTTGGTAATTTCACTTCTTTTGGGGTGGTGGGGAATACTCATTGTGTGCCTATGGGTGATATTTTCTCAATAGATGCTAGATCTCAGTGATGGGCTACCTTTTAGAGAGGGTAAGGTGTAGTTGATTCACCACTTGGATTATTCTAGCTTGTTTAATAAGTCAGTGTTCTGTTGTTTATGGGCTAGCATAACTGGTCCACAGTACTTTGTAATTCTTGTCTTTGCATCGTAAAGAGCGTGTTTGAGTTTTGGATTAGATAAAGTCAGAGATGTGAAATGTAGCATCCCTGTTGCTATTCGTTTTACCGTTTGTGTGCTTCAGTGAATCTGTTTCAGTCGACAATTCATTTTTGTGAAGCAGCAAGTTGTAAAGATTGGTGATAGTAGGTTGGAGACAAGGGCTGAGGTAAATAGAGTACTGATAAGCTAATTGGCAATGAATTAGTGGGAATACTGTTATGGACTATGTGGAATTCTGGGAATCTGCAGACCATAGTTTGAGAATCCCTGCCATATGCGTTCTCTGCTTATGCTCAGAGGCTTCTTTGGTGTAACCAGCATTACTGACAAATGTTACAAAAGTTTAACGGCCTATTTAGAAGAGTGCAACTGGTTTTTATTATCTATCTAGAGCAGGGCTGTCAAACTCCCAACCCGTGGGCCGGATGCGTCACGGGCTGGCCACCCCCATGCCTGGTTTAGCGAAGGCCCAATATGTCATGTGACGTCACTATGATGATGTGACTGACACCCCTGATCCAGAGGGTTGGACAGATGTGCAGAACAAATCCTGTTTGCTGCCAGCTTTCTCTCCCTCCCTCCACCTCATCCCATTCATGCCTGATTGCATTCATTTGCTTTTTAAAAGTCACTCTTTTTCTTTAGGCAAAGATCATGCCAAATTTTCTCCAGTTGCCACAGCCAGTTACCGTTTGTTGCCAGAAATCACTTTATTGAAGCCTGTTGAAGGGGAAGCAGCTGAGCGGCTGAAGAAATGTTTTTCTTCTGGAGTTATTGAGATTGAGGAAATCAGAGGTAATTTCTTTCTTCATTCCTTAAACGGTACAAAATCACAAATCATATTTTATTTCGACCAGTTTCTAACCTCCTCCCCCTGCCCACACACAAAATCATAGAACTTAATATCTTCTGTTTGATGAAATGCATATTTGCCTTCCTGATGGTCTAATTTTTGATCTTCCAATCAGCTCTTTGGGGGCTGTATTACAAAAAAATGGCAACATAGCCACAACAAAAATGAATCTTTGGTTGGATGCCTCCCTTCACTTTTTTTTCCTATTTGCTATGCAGAGACTAAGGCTATTTTCCTCGACTAAAATCAAGTGAATGCTTGATGTTGGGTTCTGATAAGTGAAGGCTGATTCCCACCCTTAAGAGAAGCTCAATTAAGTTCATTGAGGGGTATTTGGAAAAGTCTACATAGAATCAGACTGCTTGGGGGTGGGGGTGGGGCGGTGGGGTTGTCCAGGTTAAACCAGCAATATAGATGGGCAAGATGTTATTTGGAATCTGTTTTATAGTTGGGTTGAAGCAGAGACAAATAAACATAATCGAAAAGTATGTAGAAAAGGTTCATTGAAGGTATGTTAATATTTTTTGAAATTTAGGTATTGGTTTTTTCCCCCTCCCTAGGAAAGAAAGTAGCAAGAGTAGCTAATGCTAGATTGGACACATTCAGTAGAGAAATTTTTCGTCATGACGACTTAAAAAACCTTGTACATTTGGCTCGGGTACGAGATCACTACATCTGTGAGTAATTTCCTTTTTAAAAAATTGATATTTATGGATTGTAAAATTGATACACGATTTTCCTTGAATCAGGAGCAATATTCCTTTTCTTGGAGGTAATAATTAGCAGGTGGTTTTTGACATGAGAATGTGGTGAATGTTTCACCATATTGGTTTTTTTTTTGAGGGGTAAAGGTTTGGAGACCTAGGCCTCTGAAAATCAAAGGGTTTTCATTCCTAGTATTTTTTTTAACTCATATCAAATTTGATGGGTATGATTTAGGACTGTTTTGGAAGTTGAAATAATAGAAATGAGAATTGTGGGTGTGGCTCAGCCTTATTAATTTTTAGATTTAAAGAAAATTGTGCCACCGAAAGCCAGCCTTTAGATAGGACTGCGTTGGAGAATGCCTGCACTAATATTATTGCGTAGTAGCTAACCACTAGCTTGGAAATGTCAAATTACTAAGCACCTTGTGTAATTTCCTTACTTTTTATTCTAGTTCTGTATTTTATTTTATAGTTTTAGTTTTTGCATCAAATCTCAGTAGAACCAAAATAGAACCAAATTATCTCAGTAGTCATTTTAACATCATTATGTAATTCTATCTTTAGATCATTTTGATCCAGTCTTTCATTCAGTGCTAAAAATCTGTAACCATTTATACAATGGTTTATACCATTTAATGCCTTATCTGCTACTTAACTGTTTTATACTGTATCTTGTTTATGCTTTGATAGTTCAAACTGAGACCCTTTTTTCTCCCTTCAGTCTCTGTAGAATCCACAGGCATCTTGCCTCCAGATGTGCTGGTGAGTGAAGCCATCAAAGTACTAATGGGGAAATGCCAACGCTTCTTAGAGGAGCTAAAATCCATCCAGAAGAAATAAATTTGGGAACACAAGAGACTCTTGTGGGGAAATCCCTACGTCTGATTTGAAGAACAAGAAGACTGCATCAGTCTGTAAGGCAATGACCCTTCTCTGAGATGTCAAAGAACAAACATTGCTGAACCATTACTATCATTATTTACACAACATGGACACAACTGAAATTCAGGATAACAAGTGCCCTGTGTACTATTTGTGGTCCGGCAATGGTGGATGCCATTCTTTGATAAGGCTTTGCAATCTGAAGCTCCTAGCGTGAACTGTACAATTTCCTGTGTTAGTCTTAGTTTTCATTACAACAGTGGGATAGAAATCTTACCTGTGTAGTCGATCACCTATAATATAGTACCTTTTTGCTGATCTGGTATTATATACTATGACAGTTTTTTGATTTAGCACCTCTACTCGAGGTCCATAGTTTCTATAGTCAGCAAAAAAATCCCCAAGTCAGTTGATCTGTGCTTAACCTGTAGTTTTCTGCTTCAATATCCATGAAAATACTTGATTCTTTCAAGAATTTAAATGCTGTTAACTGTCATTATTGAGTACATTTATATATAATACCGGTATTACATGCTGGTCTAAAATATTTACTCCTAACATTCTCTCACTACATTTATTTTAAAAGATTACTTTTTAGTTACTGGGACACATGCCTCTCTTCAAAGTAGGGAAAGACTACCTTGAATATTCCTCCCACCCCAAGTATAGGATTCCAATCGTTTTTAAAGTTAAGGAAGTACATTTTAGCTACTTTCTGGCAAAACATGAATATACTTCCAGTTTAATCAATTATTCACTGATAGAGAATTTCTAATTGAAACAGGAGAGAAAATTCCTATTGATAAAATAGTTGTAGAAAAATTAAGCTGCAAGAAATCATCTCTTAACTGGAATATTGTTATGTCTAAGTCTTTGAAGTACACGAGCTAAGTATATAACCTTTGGCAGCATATAACATTATGAAGAGTAGAAGGCACAGGGCAGGAATTGTTCTAGCTCCTTCTACTTTGTCATCAAAAATGTTATTTTTAATTTATTGAACAATCCTATAAGCCTCAAAAAGCTGGAGTTGCCCAACTTTGATAAGAATGTCTAATTTTTACCCCAAACTTAAAATAATGTATTCTTTATTGAGTATATTCAATAAAGCAAGGCAAAGCATTCATACAAAAGCTTGAAGGATTAAATCATCTGCAGGCTTTGCATCCTATGCTTATTTATTGCATGTGTAAAGTTTACTAAAGGTTTCTGTGAAAATACTTGTGCATGCACAATCACTTACATCTTTTGAAGAAGTTGACTGGGAATTGCAAAGGATGTAGCTGATTTAATGTGTTAAACAGGAGCGCTTCTGTCAGGGCAGCATGTTTTGTATTAAGTATGCAATTCTCATAATTGCAGTGTTTGACCCAGAGAACAGTCATGGTGGTGATGTTCAAAAAAGGTGTGAAAAGAGTTAAGGGCAAAGGAACAGCAATGTTTGTATAAAATGAAGAGACTTTTATTGACATTGATTTGGAGACATCTTCAGCTACAACATCTCTACAAATAAAAAAACCCCTCGGTTGTTTTAAATGCATCTATTACGGGCACAGTAAATTAAAATGTAATTAAGACACAATAAATACAGTTAGGCTAGATTCCAAAGCTATTTTAACAGGGGGATTTGGTTTAAATAAATGTTACACTGAGATCAGGATTATAAACAAGTTAGAGTGGAGTCTGGCTACTAGTGAGAATCCAAATATCAATATTAAGACCTGTTTTCTTTCATGTAACCAGATGCGTATACTACTAAGCCGCTTAACTGAAAATCTCCATTCTGTTATACCTGTAGTCAAGCTATTACAGCAGCCCCTAAGGAAAGTCCTATTTGATACTAATTCTTCAGACTGCAAATTAAATTCTGGCAAATTTATGCCCACATTCTATTGCTCTCTCGGATAAACAAACACTTAAGACCTGGCCTGTAGGCATTCTGTATCATCAGACACTGAACAAAATTATCCAGAACTGTACTGCATTCTACATTCAGGGGGAGCGTTTCAGCATACGTTTTTTTAGACTGGTATAAAATGGTTCTGAATTCATTATGTTTAGAAAATTCTTACTTTTGACAGCTGAGAACTGATTGCAGCTAGAATACCTATTTCAACAATGTTTCTAGGGCAAAGAAGAGGATGTTTAATCGGAGGCTTCCTGAGGCTTGGTTGAATTTAAAAAAATGTTTTCACCCCCCCGTTTCTCAATGGTGCTTGGTTTGGTGGAACATACGACCAAGTGCTACTTCTCAAAAGTAATAAAACTTTTGAGTTAGCATAAGTTAAGTGATTCATCAACGCCCAATATGCACATCTGCATTTCTTCATCCAAGCTGTCTTTTTCCAACAGGGAAGCAGGAGTCTCCTATTAGTGTCATGTTGAGGCAGCAACAATACAGGTGTCCTGAAGGAGAAGTAGCAGAGAGAATGAGAGGCTGCAGAACCTTCTCCTTTCCACGGTCAAGTACTGTATGCATGTAGGAAGGGCTGTTCGTAAAGAACTGGACAAATGACAGTTGGACTGGAATGCTTGAGCAACCACCATCCAAAAGTAAAAAGATAAAAGTTATTCAGTAAAGCTGCAAATGGAGCTAGAAAATCTTCCCCATCTCCCCTCCCCCCTCCCCAAAAGGAGAATGAGGCCAGTGAGAATTGTATCAGGGCTCAGGAAAGGAGTAAACAAAGGAAATATGGCTACTGTGAAACAACACAGAGTGTAAAGGAGGCAAAAGTGGAATTGTCTTTAGCTTATGGCTCAAAGAGGGCAATGAGGATTTCCTCTTCATTTTTGTCAAAAACGTCTGCTCCTAGGGGTGCTTTCACCTTCTTGAAAAGAGATGGAAGGTTTCTGATGTGGACTTCTTTCCTGAATTGTTCTCCTAGGGGCTTCTGCAAGGAAACAAAGATGAATAGGCAAACGATGCATAGAAATATTCCACCAAGAATAGCCTCTGCTAAAATTGTAGAATTTCCTGCCCCCTCACTCCGTGGTGTTATGACCCCCCCACATAATTGGGGGGGGTGTGTGTGCATCTTGTTCCTGTATCCTAGATTGTTCAGCATGTGTTGAATTTAGCTCAGATCAACTTCAAGTCACTCAAAGCCAGAAACAAAATAGCAAATGCTATATATTCTATTGCCGTTAAGCAGAGAGTAGGTAATTAGCCAGGGATGTCCTGGTTCTGGAGAATATTTTGAATCATATAGAATAGTAAAGGCTACATGGTTAGATCTCCATAAGGACCCAATGTTTCTACCATCACAACTTAGGATTTGTGTAACATAAGTCACAACTAATGGGCTGAACAGGTAAGCTCTGACATTGGTTAAAGTCAACAGAGGGGAAGAAAAAAAAACCCTGTTTATCCTTCTGAGAAATGAGATGATTTCTCTGTTGCTTGACATCATGCCTTACCCCTATGCAGCCTGCAATTAGGCGTTTGAAATGGTCCTTCCGCCGTTTGTCTGCCGCTTTCTGAAGCGTTACGTTGAGTACTTTGGAATCAAACTGCTCCAGGGAATCTTTCTGGATTTCTGGGACTTGTTCCATCACTGTTTTCAATTCAGCATAGCGTGGACGCTTAAAATAACAAAGAGGAGACTCAGGAGGCACCTTTGCCAGAAGAGAAATGGCTATTTCCAAAAAGGGAATTAACCACTAATGGTACGTTCAGAACTTTGCATCCCACCAAAATGAGCCTTGGATTTGGAATGGCATTAAACAGCAAAGATGGCAGCAGACCTGGGACTGGATTATCTCCCCCATTCCTTACCAAAGCTTCATAGATCTGGAAAGCCAAATGGACAAGTGCTGCCATACACCCATCATGTTGTCCATGAACTTGTAACCCTTTCAGTACACTTGTGAAAAACCAGATCACTGCTTCAGGGATCATCATATTCTTTGAGAGCACCTATGGCAGAGAGATTGAAGTGAAGCAAGATGGGGAGAAGGGGCTGAAATTCTGATATCTACCCCTATCTTATTTAATGAAATACCCCTTTATTACATTCACCACTTTGTATCCTTCTAAACTCAGTATTGAGGTACCTGCTTGAGCAATGGCCAACAGAGGTGGGTGGTAGTTCTTTGACAGGACAAGGTATCCTTCCAGGAAAGGGATGTGAAGGCTGTAATCAGCAGAGCAGTACAGACATTCTTAAGGAAAAATAAAAAGAAAGTCAGATCAGTTACAGCCTTACGGGATTTTTCTGTCTTATTGTTATGGGGCAGAATTAAGAACTCGAGATGTTTCATGATACATAAGAACTCTCAATGTTTCATGAAGCACAGAAATAATACTTTGTCAGTTTAATCAAGTAGAAAAAGATGAATCATCCTATTTTCCCACAGAACTAGAATTGGCCACAATATTTCCATATTCTTGTAAAAAGACATTATTCATAATAAATGTTTTTCACAAAAGCAGTACTTTTTAAGAGTATATTTGATTGTTTCAAAAGCAGATCTGTACTGAATATTCTGTGTGTAATTTCTAAGTTTACAGACATTTTTTTTTCTACAAGGATCCCAATCTCTCTAGGGCTGCTGGAATATAACTGGTAATGTAATGAGGTTACAGGAGAAAGAATCTTTTTTCTTTTCTTCAAAAACAGAAGAAAGGCCTTGTTGAATCAGGAAAAGAGTGTACAGATAGTCCTTTAAGTTATATTCATTAATTCAGGAATTTCAAAGTTATGATGGCATTGACAAAAAGGATTTATGACCGATTCTCAAAGTTCTAGCCATTGCATTGCCTCCAGTCATGTGATAAAAATGTGGGCCTGCCTGCATTCAGGATTGCCACCTCATCACACCAGTTTATTTCTGTTATTTTCTTTGTCTAGGAAGAGGCAGGATTCCCAGGCAAGCAGGCCAGTGGTTGAGAGCTATGGGTAGGGTGGCTAATTCTGTGAGTGGGCACTAGGGAGCATGGGGCTTGAGACCGGCAGGTGCTGGGAACAGTGGCGTGGGCCAAGATTGCTGAAGGCCACTGCCAAGGAGTGCTGCTAGCAAGTCCCATGATCCCTAGCTCCCACAGCAACCCCTTGGCCTGTAGCCCTCATCCACTAGTCTGCTTTCCAGGGACTCCTGACTCTTTTTACAATGAAGTCATGTGAAGTCCTCATTTAATGGCTTCCATGTTCCTGTGGTTATGGCAACTGGGACTGCTATGATTTCCACTGCTGAGAGAGATAATCATAGGATGTGACAGTTTATGACTGCATTTATATCTATCTATCTATCATCTATCTATCTATCTATCTATCTATCTATCTATCTATCTATCTATCTATCTAATCTATCTTTCGTCTGTCTGTCTGTCTGTCTACCTACCTACCTACATTCTATCTATCCATCCATCCACCTACCATCCATCATCTATTTTGAACAAAGATGTTCAGAATTGCTCACTTCCTAAATTTATTTTTTAAAAAGGGGGGGGGGGGCTAAAAGAACAAATTCCCCCAAAGAATGTGAAACAGGAAGAAGTTATTATCAGATATTATATTTTCAAGAGTTAAACTGAACCCTTCAATTCTCACAAATAATATGAAGACAATATTGAACCAGTTTCCTTACCTCTTGTTTCATTAAGCATTTGCCCAATTCAGTGAGCTCAGAGCTGCCTGATGGAGTCACCTCTGTAGACATCATCTCCTCATCTATCAGGGAAAATAATGTGAACAAGATTCATTACTAATTCATTACTAACCATATCTCGATCAGAATATCTGTTCCTTGAACAAGGCACAGATGTATCAAAAATGCTGGCCCGACACACACAGAAATGTATTTCTTCACAATTCCATTTATCTTGAAGTCACAGTACCAGAAAGTGTCAAGAGGTGGCAGATGACCTATAGAACAGCAATCCGTAATATGAATCTTCGGGGATAATCAATCTGAGAAAAAACCTGCAGTGAAGAAATACTATTCTTGGAGTCATGGATAATTAAGATTCTTACATCCATTTTTGGGCTGGGATATTGTGTCACTGATTCCTGAAGTATGGCTTTGATTCCTTTACTAACAATTAAACTACTGAAGTGGTTAGCAATTCCAAAGGTATTTATAGAACAAGAATAATAATCTAATTTTTTAAAGTAAGTTAGTCACAAAAATTTTATACATGTAGGACCAATTCAATTCAAATCTCAAGGGCAGCAGAATGACCAAAACTTTTACTTACCGTCTCCATCTGCAGTAACTGTATTATTCTGCTCAGCACCTTTTTTTGACACACAGCAAACAGCTATGAATACATCAAAAGAAGATAAATATCAGAGTCAATAAGACACAATGCCTTCCTTTCAAGAATTCCTTTCAATATCATTTAATTTTTATTTTGCAAAACTTTGAAATTTTATCTTACACTGGAAAATCTCAGTTCATTAAAAAAAAGGAATGCTATCCTTTTTTATATTAAGTGAATAACATAAAATGTGATCACTAAGCCTCCTCTGATATCACCATGGTTAAGAGCAAGGAATTCCAAGTGTTCAAGTGATTTGGACACAATAGTCAAATGATAAAAGCCAAGGAGGAAGGAATAAGGCCAGACTCTACATGAATGTGTATTTTGAGAAATTCCTTATTAAACTATCACACACTGCAAGACATATTTTCAAACAATTTTGATCTGGTATTTAGCAGCTGAGAATATGCTGTAGAAAATGGCTGTTCTTTTCTTGTTATTTATTTGTCATTCTCAATCTTTTCATCCTGGAGATCAAGATCCAAGTATAATGACTGAAAATAATTAGGCCTATCTTATTAACCTACCGCTGATAAAGGAACATCTTTACTATCCTAAACAGAACTTTTTTATTTTTCTTTTAAGAAAAAAACCACAAATATGTCATCATTTGTCAATCATTAA